CCGTCAGACCTTTAGCTTCCATCAGGAAGACACGGCCATCCTTCCTACCCCCCGAACCTGGCAGTCATGGTTTCGGTCGCATCAATCACGCCTTCACCCCGTCCAAGAGGATACCTAGTGGTCATACAAAGCGTTCTCCGTCCATATCAACTTCAGCAACACGAAAAGCGAGCGCGGCGTCCGACCCGAAGCACTCGGTGCAGCAGCTTGAATCATTGCGCTTCAAAATGTGCGAGTTTGTGGATACCGAAGATAGATACATTACCCGTCTTCAAGAATTGATCGAACTTGTAACCAACCAGGGACGTACGCCGAAGTCATTGAGCTCCAAGTTCTCGAGTTCGCGGAACCAAAAGGCTGTCAATGCCATGATTCAGTTTCCTTCATTGCTGGACCAGATCAAGGACTTGAATCTTGCCTTCCTCGATGATATTGAGACGGCGCTTCACTGTTCCGAAGATGCTGCTCTCACCTTCTTGGACTCTGCTCTAGCGAATCCTCAGCTCCTCTCAAATGCCAAAGATCCCATGGGCATCTACAGTTTTGCCAAAGTGCTTTTGAATCACTTCCCCAAATTCCCCATGCCCTACAGGGAATATCTCGATCTGCATTCCCAAGTTTCCTCAAATCTCGATCAATTTTTAAGAGAAGGCACAACTTCAATTCAACAGGCACCGTCCTTGCTTATGGAGCCAGCCCAGCGTATCTCGAGATACGGCCTCTACATCGACACTATGCTTCCACATGTGCCTTCAAATTTCACCGTGGCAATACGAACCTTGGAGAGGGCTCGGAAAATCATCGCCGAGATATGCGAAATGGAACCGGCGGCGTCGACCATCCTGGACTCTCTCCGCATCGAGCATGAAGCAAAGAGAAAGGGCCTGTCCCCGACTAAACTCCTCTCAGGTTTGACCCGATCAAACGGAACGATCCGGGAAGCACCAGCGTTAACGGGCAGTGTGAAAGAAAGAGACGGGCCGCGCCTTTTCCCCAGCCTGGGTCGCAGCCTGAGCCGGAGGCAGAAGACCTCGAGGCCTGGTTTATCAAGCATCTTATCCGAACAAGATCCTGAGCAAATCAACAACGTACAGTCTCGAAACGACGAGAACAGGCCCCTCACATCATCCTCGGCATTGTCCTTCGGCTCCGTCAAGAGACCGCCCACATCAGGATCTAGTGTTAGTATCACAAACCGCTCCACTGAAAGTGCAAGTCCAGGTCCCGATGCACCTGCTGTGTTGTTGTCAAGCAAGAAACGCATTGGCACCGTCCCGACCATTGTTGCAGGAAATACCGTGGCAGCAGGTGTGGGCAACGGAGTCCCGATGCCCAGTTATTACGGGGCGGGTGAGGTTGAAACTGTGGAGCATTACAAGGCCCAGTTAGTACGGGTTGAGGAACAGAATTATAAGCTCCTCCAGGAAAATGCCGAGTTGAAGAGACAGATCAGGGAATGCAAGTGCGGTGGTGCGGTAAGACGGCCATGATTTAGTTTTCTTCCCAGTGAACGTCTTCCTGAGGGACAAACACGACCAAAAGGTTGGTTGAGGTTGGAAGGGGGGAAACAGACGATAGACACAACCTAACGAGTTATGACAATTGGGTATGGCATTCCGTGTTTGCACTCGTTGGCACTTTTTTCAAAGACAATGTACTTTTTATGCGAGCTGTATGATAGAAGGCTGGATATTGGACTACAAGCGCATTCATTATCTCAGACTGCCCGCACATCAAAGAGAGTCCTCCAGTAACTGAAGGACCAAAATTAGAATAACGGTGCTCGAGGCGACTGAAGCCGGATTACCGTTGATTTGATTTGAGCTAAGCTGAATCGACTGGATTCGAGTTGAATTAAATTGGTTTGGCAGTCCGTCTGTCTACCTCTCCGCCTATCCTTGCACAGTAAAATACAACAAGGTTACAAGCTGCTCGGGCCGCTTAAATTGCTGGGGAGCGAAGACCTATTGTCTGTTGAACTTCAAACGGCCTAGTATAATACCTAGGTACGTAGGTAGGTAGGCTCCGTCATGGATGCTTGCAAAGCTAGCTGTCCTATGGATGCTAATGCTAGGCAGTAAATGAACTGTTGCTTGTTTTCTTGTCTGGTCGTTTTACTCATCGCGACATACTACTACCCGGGAGTCGCTTGCGTGCGAATGAGTGACTCGGTCAGACGACGGACTCTCCAAAAAGAAACTATGTAATTTATGCCAGATTTATTCTTCTTCCATTCCCATCCTGAGGCGAACGTGTACACACGTGCTCAAGCCCAAGAACAACGGGTAACTTCAGACTCGCACACAGATCGATTAGTATCCTCACCTTGGCCTCGGCCCTTTTTTTACTCCGTTGATCTTTTGACCCTTTGCCCTGCCTGTGGTCCTACTTATCCTACCAACCTAATTAGGCCTTGTCCTCATCGTCATCAAAACCTGGCCTAACAGTGGCCCATCCACTCTGATTCCTCCTCCCGTCTCGCTCTGTATTCAGCCTCAGCGCCCTCGCCTTGCTCGGATCATCCTCGAACCAGCATCTCGCCTTGTAGTCGTCTGCGACAGTGATTAATTGGCCATTGTGATGAACCCAGGCTACCGCAGTGACTTCCTTCGTATGCCCGTTGATGAGAGGGGTGCCTGTATAGTAAATTGGACATTGGCCTTCCATTTGGACGTCTTGAAACGAGGTTGACGCCGATAAGGAATTGGAGAGCATGTTGACCGATGAGGCCCGTTGAGGGAGACGAGGTCGTGAGCGCAAGGAGGGTTTGGAGTGGGAGACGACTGGGGGACAACGCCGTGCGGCTTTAGTTAGATAACGCTCGTCAGTAGGGAATATCACCGCACAATCCTCGCCTGAACCAGCAGCCAGTATTTCAGTGTTCTCGCTTGTCTTGCGGCGGAGGGCGAGCTTGTCGTAGAAAGAACCCAGACGCAGTGAGGGATCGCGGAAGCCGTACAACGGACCTAGTCCTTGCCCAGCGGTGCGAGAAGCTCGAGACGGTTGACTTGATGCCAATGACATCTCCGGACATCCGCCGAGCACGAGATGAGCGGTCGAATAGGCATAGATGGTATTGTCTCGACAGAGAGTATACAGCCTGGAGCCGTCGGTGTTCATGACCATGGACGTCACGCCGAAGGGTCGTAGGGCTTCATGGCTGTTTGGTTCCAGAGTTGCGGAAACAGGGGTAGGTCTGCCAGATCGCTGTTTGTATGATGCCCGCATGTCCCATATTTTGATAATGGCGTTGTGTTCCGAAGCTGTCGCAAGCATATGTGGACGAGTGTCGCTAATGAAAGCACAGGTGGTGACCGCAAAATCAACCTTGGAGGACAGTCCCGCAACTTGACGCTTACCATTCACGAGTTTGAGCTTATCCCAAGACGTGTGCGCATCCCGTATCTCCACTTGAGCGTTGACTTCTCTGCTGTTATTAAGGAGGTGAGGTGCGCGTACGAGAGGTTGGATATCCAATATTCCTTGCTGGGCACACCGGAGATCCCACAGACGGACGCTGCCATCCCGGGAGCAGGTTGCCAGGACGTGATTCCCCGAGCCTGGCTGCCATTGCACGCGTTTTATGGAGCCCATATGACCGATCAACGTATGGGTGGCCATCAGCGTGTCCATGTCGATGATTCGACAAGATTGGTCTCCGGACGCCGTTGCGAGGAATTTATCGTCGTATGAAAACTCCATGTCCATTATCGCATTGTCATGAGGATACATGAAGTATTGAATCTGCAGACTACCGGGATCATCTGAGGACCGTTCCGAAGCTCGGTATACTTCGACCAGGCCATCTTCATTTCCGATGGCGACAGATTGTTGATGGTTGAAACTGGCAGTACAGAATGGTAGAGCTCGAGGTCGGATATTGATGGAGGTATCGTTGAAGAAGTCTTCTGGCAGACTGTAGAAATTCGAGGTTTCATGCTGCCATAGATTGCTGTCGTTACCAAAAGAAATCTCTTTTCTTCTCCCGAGGTGTCGTGATAATAACCCCGCTGAGGTGCTTATAGATTGGTAGCGAGTTACCCTCGGAGGATATTGCAGCAAAGGCGACAATTCTTCTTCTTCATCCTCGTCATCCGTCTCTGAATAAAGAGCATCGTCATCCTTGGCATCTGGCATCGCTCCTTCTCCTGCAGGAGATTCCTGGCTGCTGGGAAATCCATAATTAACCTTGATTGGCGAAGACGGAATCGATGGTATTGACGTGAAGGAGAGCTTCCGCTTCTTTGACGGAGGTTGACTATGTTCGCCCGTACAGACTTCTAAGGACTGTTTGGCTCCTGACCGACTGTTGAGATTGACGGCAGAAAGTTCTCGCAAGGCTTTCCTAGAGGTTCGAACGGAGCGCTTTACGTTCTGGGGTCTTGGGGTAAAAAATCGAGTAAAGCGGTTTGGAGTAATGGAAGGGTTCTTCTTAATTCGACTACTTCGGCGAGGACTCCTGTTCTCATTGGGGGCAACAGCAAATGTGACAGTCTCCGATCGGACATTTCTCTCTGGTGTATGGTCCATAGAAGAAGGTCCAAGAGGAGACTCCAGGGATGATACTCGGGTCGCCATTGTGCTCAAACTCGGGAGCAGATAGCCACTGTGAAGAGTCGGATTGGGAGAGAGGAAGGGGTTGGGTGGCAATTGGGAAGAAGGACGGAGACCCGAGGAATCTCGAGGCTGGAAGAGGTTCGCGACGCCATCGACCTCGACGCGTAGCAGCAACGCCTGGAGCGCGTCTCTAATTGAGCCACGAAGGGAAGGTCAGCCGACCCGAGCCCGGAGAAAATTTCTCCGCACTACCAAGTCAAGAGCTTTGATTGGTGGAACGGATCTCTTCCCAGACTGCGTTCGGCGTCCCAAAAAAATTTCCCCATGTTCACACACAACTAGGCCAACAGGCAAAGATCACGCACCAGGACGAATTCAAGCCCTGTTGGATTGCGGCATACCTCACCGTAATGTTCTAAGACATTCCTTTTGCCTCAATCAACATGCCTTCTGCAAAGCGAAAATCCGAAGATGCGGCGACGAAGCATCCAAATAAACGGCCAAAGTCGAGTTCCAATTCGAAGAGCGGAACTGCCACCGCTGAACAGGAACAGACCAAAAGTCCAAAACCAAAACCAGCCTCTGTTCTTACCAAAGAACAACCTGCATTTCCTCGAGGTGGTGCTAGTCTGCTAACTCCTCTAGAGCGTAAGCAAATTCGAGCAAGGGTAGCCCAAGATGCGGATGCAGAACAGAAACCTTCGCAGGAACTCTTTGGAGGCCGGGACACCAGGGCGGATGTTGACACCGACGAGGGCAATGATTCCGAAGTGAATTTGTCGGCGAAGAAACGGGAAAAGAGACAACGAAAAGCTAAGAAGTTGTCTGCGTCCTCTGCAACTGCTACAAACACCGACGTTCAAATCGGAGGTCTCAGCCATAAGCGGATAACCACCGACTCTCTTATTTTGGGTCAGATCACATCTATAAGCGCAAGAACGCTGACCGTCGCCTTGCCGAACAACCTTGTGGGTTATGTGCCTCTGACTGCAATCTCGCCGCAGCTGAGTGGGAAAATACAAGGTCTTCTCGACCAAAATGACGAAGAAGACAATGACAGCGAAAACGAGCGAGATGAAGAGCAAGACATCGCTTTGCCGGGTTATTTCCACGTTCATCAGTACCTGCGAGTCGCAGTGACCTCCACGGAGCAAGATAGGCGAGGAATGAAATCTGCCGCACGAAAACGAATCGAGTTGTCAGTTGAGCCAGCGTTGACCAATCTAGGCTTGGGCCGGTCGAGTCTCGTGGCTGGAGCCGTCGTTCAAGTATCTGTGTGCAGTGTCGAAGACCACGGGCTAGTGGTTGATCTTGCACTAGAAGACAGCAAGGTGCACGGGTTCATCCCCAAAAAACAATTGCCCAGGGAATGTTCCTTGTCGACTATTAAAGTTGGCGCTGTTCTTCTGTGCCACGTCCTCGAAACGAGCCCCACCAATAAAGTGGTGAAGCTCTCAGCTGACCTCTCCAAAGTACCAGCCTTGAAGACCGCTCCTTCTGTGGATACTTTTCTCCCTGGAACCAAAGCAGAGATTTTGATCAACAATGTCACAGACGCTGGATTGTCAGGAAAGGTCATGGGCATGTTAGACGTCACGGCCGACATTGTTCACTCGGGCTCATTTAAGGACCGACAGGCGTTTCTTGCCAGATATGCAGTCGGCAACAAGATTACGGGTCGACTTATCTGCAACTTTCCCCTTTCAGAAGTGAAGAAGCTGGGATTCTCTGTTCTCGACAATCTCATCGATTTAGACGACAACCACGATGCTGCCGATGAGGAAAGCGCCAAGTTGACGTTATCTTCCACCATCGAGTCAGCGTCCGTCATTCGAGTTGAGCCAGGACTGGGCGTTTACCTGCAGCTAGACCAGGTTAATATAGGTTTTGCTCACGTGTCTCGTCTCTCGGACAAGAAGCTGGATACGATCTCCGAAGGCAGCGGCCAGTTCAAGCATGGATCCGAACACAAGGTTCGATTGCTTGAATACAACCCAGTCGACAACCTCTACATATTGTCTGCTCAAAAGAGCGTGATTGAACGACCGTTTCTCAGATTCGACGACGTGCCGCTTGGTGCGGTCGTCGAAGGAACGATTGAGAAGTTGCTAGTCGGTCCAAGTGGAGTTCAAGGCTTACTGGTCACGATTGGAGAGGGCCTGAGCGGTCTCGTGCCACAGATACACATGTCTGACGTTGATCTGAAACATCCAGAGAAGAAATTCAGGGAGGGCCAGACCGTCACTGCTCGAGTCCTGTCCACTGATCCTATCAGGCGGCGCCTGAAACTCACTCTGAAGAAGGCTTTAGTGAACAATGATCAGAAACCATGGCTCCGCTTTGAAGATATTGAGACTGGTGATTCCACAGTAGGTACACTGACCAAGGTTGACCGCCTTGGTGCAGTTGTCCGGTTCTATGGCCCAGTCAGGGGATTTCTTCCTGTGTCTGAGATGAGCGAAGCATATATCAAAGATGCCACGGAGCATTTCCGGGTCGGTCAGGTTGTCTCAGTAAACGCAATCAGCGTCAACGCCCCCGAAAAGCGCTTGACAGTATCCTGCAGAAGTATCAATGCACCCAACTCCACGATCGAAAGCACCCTTGCAGCATTGCAACCAGGCACTTTCACCGGTGGTATTGTCTTTGAAAAATCTCTGAACGACGTTTTATTGCGCTTGGACGGATCCGACGCTATTGCACGATTGACCCTAGATCATATCGCCGATGGCTCTCTCCGAAAACGAGAATCTGCACTCAGCAAAGTTCGAGTGGGTCAGAGGTTGGAAAATTTGCTCATATTGCAAGTCCTAGCAAAGAGGAGACTGGTCTTGATCTCTAACAAACAGAGTTTGGTACAGGCTGCACAAAATGGCACTCTGCTCAAAGGATACGAACAGCTTCGACCCAATGCGGTCGTGACCGGCTACGTGACGAATATCACAGAGAATGGCGTGTTTGTGGGCTTTGCTGGTGGCATAACCGGGCTAATGACCACAGCTCAAGTACCTGTCGAGACTGAGAACGAGCCAGACTTTGGGATGACCAAATTCCAGCCCGTAACCGCTAGAGTCCTCTCTATTGATTACAAGGGTGCGACACCTCGATTTTGGCTGACAACCCGAGAGGTTCTCCCTACCGATGGCGACATAACGAGCAAAACTGAGCTTCCTCTGGACTTCCCAAAACTCATCAATCCGGTGGACGCGAGCCTTGAAACGCTTAATGATTTATTCATTGGGAAAGTCACGAAAGCAAGGATCATCTCGGTCAAGGAAACGCAGATCAATGTCGAACTGGCCAAAGATATGCAAGGGCGTATCGACGTGTCGGAAGTATTTGACGACTGGAAGGATATCAAAGACCGGAAGAAGCCATTGAAGCAATTCTCTCCGAAGCAAGAACTTCCTGTCCGAGTTCTTGGGGCGCACGACACGAGAAACCATAGGTTTCTGCCGCTAACACATCGAAAAGGGAAAAATACAGTGCTCGAACTCACGTGTAAACCAAGCTCAGTCTCAGGACCAGAGCAAGCCAGATTAACATTGCAAGATATGGCAGTGGGATCATCCTGGCTTGCCTTCATCAACAACATTTCCGACGACCGCGTATGGGTCAATATTTCGCCAACTATTCGTGGAAGAATTCGGGCCATCGACCTCTCGGATGATCTGTCACTTGCTGCAAATGTGCCTCGCAACTTTCCTCTTGGCTCTGCTCTACGGGTCCGGGTTCTCAGCTTGGACGCCGAGAAGGGGCATCTGGATCTAACCGGGCGCTCAGATGGCACTGCGAGCTCTTTGACATTCACAAATATTTCTACGGGACTTGTGCTTCCCGGTCGGGTGACGAAGGCTACCGACCACAACATCATCGTCCAGCTCAGTGACCAGGTTGTTGGTGTTGTTGACTTGATTGACATGGCGGACGACTACAGTGAAGCGAACCCTGCGAGGTACCAGAAAAACGATATTCTTCGGGTCTGCGTGCTCAGAGTGGATGCTCCCAACAAGAAGGTCAATCTGTCAACTCGACCTTCGAAAGTCCTCAGCTCTTCAATGGGGGTTACCGACCGAGAGATCACCTCACTCGATCAATTAGCCGTCAATGACATCGTCCGTGGATTTATTTGTAATGTGGCCGACAAAGGGGTTTTCGTGACTCTGGGTCATGGCATCACAGCGTTTGTGCGGGTTAGTAACTTGTCGGACAGCTATCTGAAGGAGTGGAAAGATCACTTCCAGCGTGATCAGCTTGTGAAAGGGAGGGTCACTATGGCCGACAAGGCTTCTGGTCACGTCCAGATTAGCTTGAAGGAATCGGCACTGAACCCTGACTACAAAGCGCCGCTTACGTTCAATGACTTGAAGGTGGGAGATATTGTGACCGCCAAAGTTGTCAAGATCGAGCCTTTTGGGGTTTTCATACTTGTGGATAATTCCGAGAACGTACGTGGCCTCTGTCACCGAAGTGAGATTGCCGAGCAACCAGTCGAAGATGTCAGCAAGCTGTTCAACGAGGGGGACAAAGTCAAGGCCAAGGTGTTGAAGATCGATTTGACGCGGCGTCGCATCAATTTTGGCATGAAGGCATCATACTTCGGCGATACTACTGGAGAGAATGCAGAAAGTGATTCCCCATTTGAGGATGACGTCGAGGACGGTGGCGCGCATCTCGACCAGGAAGATGAAAGCTCGGACGACGATATGGAAGCACTATTCCGGGATGATGACGAACAAGATTCGGAAGCAGGTGCAGAGGACGTTGAAATAAGGCCCGAAGAGGATGCCCACGAGTCAGAAGACCGCCGGGACGCCCCAAGCCCGTCCTATAGTAGCGGTCTCTCCGTGGGTGGTTTTGACTGGTACGGCATCTCCGAAGCCACGGGAAACAAACGAGCGGCTGAAGCATCCGATTCGGAAGGCGAAGACACAACCAAAGCACCCAAAAAAAGGAAGAAGCGAGGCGCCATCCAAGTCGACCGAACGGCAGACCTAGATGTCAACGGGCCTCAATCCGTGGACGACTTTGAGCGGTTACTTCTAAGCGAGCCCGATTCTTCCCTCCTCTGGCTCCAATATATGGCCTTTCATCTTGACCTTGGCGACACCGATCAGGCGCGGCAGATCGGCGAGCGCGCATTGAAAGCCATCGGCCTCGGCCAAGAAGAAGAAAAACTGAACGTCTGGGTGGCACTGCTGAATCTGGAAAACGCCTATGGAGACGACGAAAGCATTGAGGACATGTTCAAACGGGCGTGCGAGTACAACGATCCGCAAGAAATTTACTCCCGGTTGACGAGCATCTACATTCAATCAGGAAAACTTGAGAAAGCTGACGACATGTTTCAGCGAATGCTGAAGAAATTCACGCAGGATCCTAAGATGTGGGTGAACTATGCGCATTTCTTATTCGACACGGTGGGTGATGCAGAGAAAGGGCGGGCACTTCTTCCGCGAGCACTCCAGACGCTGCCTCGATTTACACACTTTGACATTACGTTGAAATTCGCACAGCTTGAATTCAAATCTTCTCATGGGCTGGCGGAGAGGGGACGAACCATCTTTGAGGGGTTGATCAGTTCCTTCCCCAAGAGGGTGGATCTGTTCAACGTGCTCCTTGACTTGGAGCTCAAGCTGGGAGGCGAAAATAAAGAGCAGGTACGAGGGCTGTTTCAGCGGATATTTGGTGGCAAGTTGAAGCCCAAGCAAGCCAAATACTTCTTCAAACGGTGGATGGAGTTTGAGGAGAAGGAAGGAGATGAAAGACGGGTCGAGGAGGTCAAAGCCCAGGCAGCCAACTGGATCCGGGATGCCGGCAAGTAGGTCGCAAGGAGAAAATCGGATCTGGTTCATTCGGTCTGCTCCGACACCGATCTTGTAGAATCGAAATAAAGAAACCTGGAATAGAGCAGGAGGCCAATGGATGTACCTACGGAGTGTAACGCTTTGTTGTGGATTCTTCTTGCTGCAAGGAAAAATGAGATCATGGCACAGACTGTGGAGTCAATGTGGACATCGATGACGGTAATCACCGAGTATTACTTCCTCTTCTTCTTCCAGATCTTTTTCCTTCCCCCGTGGTGCCAGTGGTAAAAAATTCTCCTGGTGCCCGGCCAGCTGCCGCAAGAAGTAAGAATTAGCCAAGAGGAATTGCGTGAGGCCCAATCGCCTGTTCGAGACGGATCCATCGCTCTGGGCTTTGCTGAGAGCATGAAATCACATTCGTTTGCTCTGAGGCCCCGTCGGAAAAGGGAGCAAATGGGGATCGAGCTTGTGGTGTGGATATTGTTACTCGATTGCAAAAAAAAAAGAAGAGTGCGACAGACACCAAGCGACAGTGGAACGAGGAAATCCCTTTCTTTCTCTTCTTTTTCTCTCGTAACATTTATCAAGTAATGGATGAGTGAATGATGAGTTCCGTGAGCGATGCATGGGGGACTATGCAAGCAGGTGGACAAGAGGGCTAAACTTAGCGACGGCCCTTTTTCTTCACAATCAGAGCCGAGGGGCCCTTCTCCCGATCCGAAGAAATGTTTTGGATGAATAATAACAAAATATAAGAAGCAAAGATGACTCTGGGATGTGGTTGCCTGGAGAGGCAGGTGAGGAAACGACCTGGCAGACCTGAAGCTGAAGGGGACGAGGAAGAGAAGAAAGTTCGCAGGCGCCATGCATGATTCCCCGGGTCGGGTGCCAGGGTGGCTGCTGTTGCTCCAGGTGGGATGGTCCCCGTGTTATTGGTGCCACAGGCCGCGTGGTTGTTCCGACCCAGCTTCGCCAGGCATCTGGCCGCTAAGAACAGCCTTAAACCAGCCTGAGCGACCCTGGACACCCCCTTAAGTTTCCTTAACCAGTCGCCCCGATGGCTTCTGTGGGTCCCCCTTGCACCCCCATCGTCATCATCACCACCCACATCATCATCATCCCACGACCTCCCACTGGGTGCCAGCTGCAAAGTACTGAGTACCTCCCAAGGACGAGCAACTACGAGGTACCAACTGGTGCTTGGGGCCTTGGGCATGGTTGCCGGTACCCGCGAAGGGCAGGCTGCGCTTATGGCTGCAGGCTAGTTTCCGGAAGAGGCTGCTATTCCCATTTCCCAGCCAATCGTGCTCGCTTGATATGCCTGTTCGTCTCTTATCTTCAGCCAGCACACAACCTTTCGTTCTCTGGCTCTCTCACCACCGCCAGCAGCCCAAACAACAACCCATCCTGTCCATCCATCCACCAAGAATCCATCCGCTGAAACCGCATTCCCCTACCTAGAGTCCCAGACTGTGCAGGGCTGTATCATCATGCCATCCTTCTTGTCTTCCTCTCAGCTTCTTTTACTCTCACCTACCAGTATATCCTCTTACTGCTTCACTCCCAACTACCTCTCTACACTAACCCCTGGTTCAGCCTTGCCTGGTCCACCCTCCCCCCTAGGCTGCTCCGGCATGCCCCCCCCCCCCCCCCGAAACCGATTTTCTCGTCCATCCATATTCCTGATCAACATTTTATTCCTCCTTTCAGGTCTCTCCTCGTTAGATTAAGGTGTTAACGTGGCCATGATGATGGTGCCCAGGGCCTTTGCCCAGAACCCGCTGGCGCAGAGGCAACAGCATATCGACTTCAATGAGAAAGAGAAGGACAGGTTATCGCCCCGAAGGCAGCCTCGAGACACGACTCCTCGACCACCTCCTCCCCGTTCGGCTCTTTCCCAAGGTCTTTCCCAAGAGCCAGCCGATTCCCCCTACAGACCTTTGTCGGACCCCGTCAAGATTCCGCCGCGGACGACAGAGAAACGGACTCCCGTCCCGCCTCGACAGCCGGTACCTTCGTCTCTACAACCTTCCAGATATCTCTCCCCCTCAACCGCTGGGTCGCAGTCACTGGAAATACCGAAAAGGAAACACTCGGCCCAAGACATTCTGACATCGACCACTATCCCCGTCCGACGAAAGCCCAAGCAAAGACCCAGTCAGCGCCTGCCGAACTGTGACTATGTCGCCGATTTCAGCAAACTCTTGAGGGATGACGTCCCGCCCAGCAATGATGGGAGTCTGTCAGGAAGTTGGACGAACCCACAATTCGAGGGACTATTTGGCAATATTGACGGCCTCGTCGAGGGGCAGATGATCGTGGGGGGCGAAAGTCTGGATCCTGGGATCCTATCACCCAGATCGCTCTCGACCGAGTCAATGCCTTCTCTTTCGTCACCGGACGACTTCAGCAGTCTTTCTCCCGCCACTATCAGGTCTCCTTCCGATCATCGATTGCGGCAGATGGCCAGTTCCGAGGACTGCAGCAATGAGCACCCCCTCCTGCCTACGGACGAGGATGAGCATTTCAGTGGCACCTCGACGCCCGAACTTACCATCTCATCCCCGGTAAGGATGAGACGGAGGCCAATCATCCCTGATAAAAGACCGAGCTCGTTCAAGTCCAGTCTGACGGCGTCTCTGAAAGCGCTCAAATCCGCCGCTCAAACCGTGTCCGATTTAGCCAGCAACCCACCGCCGATGCAACCAGATGACTTCTTAACGAGGTCTGTCTTCGAATTCAGGCCCTCGCTGACCGACGACCGACGTCCTCCCCCATCAAGTGAGCCTCCTTCGGCGGCGCTAAGAAGGTATCTGAACCCGCGCACCTTTGTCCCCCCCGACTCTCCCGCCCAACTCCATTTCTGGGTCGACGAAAAACCCTCCCCGCCTTCGCCGTCCAGTCGAGACGCCCGGTCGAGACTCAAGATCAAGAAGAAATATCGAAATCAGAGATCCCTTTCTCCTCCTGTCAACGAGAGTGCCCCATTTGCGCCCTCCAAGAGTGCCGTCTCTCAACTTCCCCCCGTCGTCCAGCTCGCGACATGCATCCCTTCGGCCATCCGCACCACGAACGCTTCCAGTCCCCCCACCTGGCTCGAACCGGACGGCACACCAAGCAACAAATTCCGCGCAGCACAGACACTGTGGGCCGATCCCGAGAACGGCATCGAAGAAGGTCAGCCGCGACCGCGTGAGCCGCGCGAGAATCGGGATTTCTTGCGAGTTTTTGTGTGTGAGATGAACATGCGCAAGAGTGGGAAGTTGAGCGAGGATGCGGTGGGCCACGCCAAGTTGTGGTTGCCGCCCGTTGATGAGGGGCCGAAGGGCAAAGACAAGGGGACTAATGAGGTGGAGGGGAACAAGGTTGAAAGAGGAAAGAGAAGGGAGACAGGCGCGAGTGAAAGGTGGACAAGTTGGTCGATTGAAGATTTGTAACATTTGGCAGATGGATTATTCGGAGGTCTGCTTCTCAGCTGACGGCTGTCTCGAGCATAGAATTGGCAAACAAGGGACACAGAACATGGTCCTAGAAGGACCACCTTTACGAATGACGACCGCAAGCGATGAATTCGGGCTGTAAGATGGTGACATGAATAGGGGCGCTTCGGGCCCAACGCCCTCGGGGACGTTGGCAAAAGAACGTGTACAATACGAATACTCCATTGATGTTGTTTCTAAATTAAAAGACTAGATTGTTTCACCCCCGAAGCGATTCGCAAAGTGTGGGTGAGAAGATCACGGCGAGCGAAAAGGAAAAAGGGCAGAGGGCACAACTTAACCGCCGTTCAATGTGTCCGCGTTAAGACAAGGCAAAAGGCGACGCGTTTTCGACCAGTCGCTTTGGTAGGAGCCCAATCCTATTCTGCCCTGTCCTGTCCTATTTAGTTGAGATCATCGGCCGGCGGAATGAGGAGGAAGAAGAAACCGCCCATTCTACCTAGGTTTCTTTCTCGAGTGATAGATGGTAGATTTGCTCTCCCCCCTGTACGACGTACTCCGTACATACTTGATAATGTTCCTTTCTTTCTTTTTTTTTTGGCCTTGGCTCGCTGGGCGAGAGAGGCAGAATAAATGATATAGATGCGTACCTACGGTAGGCATAGAGGGGGAGGGCCTCTGGAGATTCATGAGGATCTCTGGGGGTGGAACAAGGACACAAGAAACCTGTTCATTCCAATTTCCCTTTCGCTGTATTGACGGGCAGGGGGCAATCACTTACCACATTTTTGAGGAGAATTGGGGTCTTGATTCGACCTCAAACGCAATGGCGCAGACCGGCCATCCGTGTGTAGATAGACGCGCGGATTCCAAGGTCCTCCTTCAAGGTTTGTCGACAGCCTTCGCCGAAGTCCTGGGTCACATACATACATAGATAGCCTCATACATCTAGCGAGCGATGTATGCCTCCTCGTCAAGTCTCGTGCCTTCCTTCCAACAAGCCTCGATCCACTCGCGCGCCACGATTCGCGGAATCTTCCTCGTTTCCCACCGCGAGACCTGTCTCCTCAAATCCGCGAGGTTCGAGATAGAAGGGTGGGCGATGATGTGGGTGATTGTCCTTCGAAGATCGGAGGGGATCGATGAGAGGGTGGTGTACCTGCGCGGGAGGACGGTGGCGCTCGCGAACCGCGCAAGAGCTTGGGAAGATGCCGTCGCCGTCGTGGGAGTGAATGTAGTTTCTGTGTCGAGGCGGAAAGGTTGCACTTCGTCCTTCTGCACCACGGGTCCAGGCTGATCAAAGAAAAGCACCAGTCCATGGAACATAAAGCCTTTCATGTTGAGGAACTCGACTCCAAAGAGATCCGGGACCCTCTCTTTTTCCTCTTCTTCAATGTCGACGATGCCCATCTTTGCCATAATCTCTTTGAGCTCCTCCTCGCTTACATCCCTTGCAAAACTGTCCCCATATTCATCCACACTATCCTCGTAACGCCCTCGCATCTTGTCGGGTGCGAAATAGAGGTGGCGTTCGGGCTCAAATGGAACGACCATCTCTTCTGCATATCCTCTAGAGAAATCTCGCTTTGCTTGGTCAATGCAGTCAAAGATCCAGGTCGGCTTGACGATTTCCTGGTCCCCGCGCTTTTCGAGGGATGCGACTTTGACTGTTCTCCGCGAAGCAATACATATTACGGTTTCGTGGTCTTGAGAGGTTGGAGTTGCTGTTTGGATGATTTTGCCGCCGTTCGCCTTGACCAACGCTTCCAGCTCAAGCTTCGTCTTCTTTTGATCTCCGGGGAGAGAGGATTCCGTCATGATGTAAAACGTCAATCCTTCAAAGACCGTACCCTGCGGTCCCTCTGGCAACTTGACACTATTCACGTCTCTGGCATTGTATCCAGCCACCGTAAGCGGTTTCTTCCGACTCGCATATCCACCAGCGCGGGCTTTGCGTTTTTCTTTGCGCTGCTGGTCAACCCTCATTGCCTTTTCTTTCTCCTTGTCCTCGGCCATGACTTGTAAATCTTCAAACTCATTGACCGAGAGGGCGGTCTTCCAATCCTTGTCCCTCCTCAGTCTCATGAACCGAGGAAATCGCAACGTCTTCCCGAAGCCGTAATCTTCACTGGCTGTAACTTGCGCAGCCTTCACCTGCACAACGAGCGAGTCGGAAGGCTTGATCCACATGTCTGGCCTCTCCTTGAGCAAGCTTAAGTTGCCCATGTCGATATAGTCTTTTGCAGACGGCCGACGAGAATCCCAGGGATGCCATTTCCCGTCTGTGGCGTGGCGAATCGTGGCGTAGTCGTTGGCTGTCATGCCGCCGCCGACTTTGAAGAAGGAAATAAAGTTCTCCACGGGGCCTTCGTGTTCGGACGGTTCAGCTCCGGGTTCTGCCTGTGGTTGCGATTGAGATTGAGTCTGCTGTCGTTGCGAGGACTGACTCTGGCTTTGGCTTTGGGCAAGGGCCTGTTGACGCCATCGCTGACTTTGGCTTTGGCTTTGACTTTGAGACTGGCTCGCCATTCGCACCGCCTTGTTTGAGGCCCGCAGACCGCAGAGAAAGCTGGACAGGCTTCCGCCACGTCTCCCCGAACCATAGAACCCCCCGATGATAAGACAGTCGAGCTCCTCTCCAAATCCGTCCATATACTCTGGCTTTACTTTCTGCCAGTCGCCGGAACGATCGTCTAAACGGTACATAGATCTTGGATTCTTGAGTACCAAACCTTCAGAAGCTTCGGCCACGACTTTGCGGAGCAAGTCTTCAACATCTTCCACTTCCGTTGCTACAGTGTATTCATGGATCTCGAAGCGCTCGAGTTCACTCCTCACACTGGCGGCTAACGCTTTGCGGCGATCTCGTAAGGTATAGCGAGTCAGAGGCTGGTCGTTCAGTAGAAGGATGTCGAAGATCCGGAATACAGGACGGTGGCCCTGCGCGAAAGGGTTTCGTTGTTCAGCTAGTGCAGCAGTCTTCAGCGTTCCAAATGGCACTGGTGCTTTTTCATTGGGATCCCAAGTTATCATCTCGCCATCGAGGATGATGTTTTCTACACCATCTACAAAGCAATTTTGGATATGCGGGGTGAGCGCCCCATTGGGGTCCTGAAAACCGCTGCCGTACAAATAGGTGTAGTCTTTGGCTTTTCGGGACCAGAATTGGAAGCGTTTCCCACCCGGATGGCCCTCATCGGTGACCATATGCATCTGTATGCGTTCGCCGTCTAGCTTCTCCTCAATCCAGAATTCAGGGTCTTCAGGCGTTGGTCTTAGGGCCTCCACAACCTTCTTGAGAGATTCTTGCTTGAACTGGGCCAGCATAGGTTGGAAACACTGCATCAGCATGACTCCCGCCTCCTCATCTTGGAGACGGATTTCGGGGCTGTAGAGTTCCCAGCACACCCTTCGCAGGTTGCTCGAAACATTGAAGAGGCTTTCTGCGTCAGGGTGCCAGAGGTGGAAAAAGGTCTTCTCGGTGGCGCCCACTTTCATCTGTTTTAGAATTACACGAATCAACCACATCAACTCTTCAGCGTTCATGCGTTTATAGAACTCGGCCAAGATCGGAAGCTGATTCTCCTCCCTCGGAGCGGCTGACAACTTGTCCAAGAGTTCATTGACTTCCTCAATAGTCATGTCTCCAACTTCCACCCTCATTGGTCGCTTGGAAAGGGCCTCGTAACAGCGGCCCGCAAAATCTCCTGCCATGCGCGATGCAGCTGTCTGGCCGGGCTGTTTCCAATTTAAAAGACTGTATCCATCCTCGGAGTTCTTGTCGATCTTCATGATCTTGATAAGTAGTTTGGCAATGATCTTCTCCTTGAGCCCATACACCCCGCGCTCGCGGTCCTTATCTGGGATGATAAGCCGAAAGGCAGGAAAGAAGTCAGGGCCAACCTCTTTTCGCCACCGAGCGATGTATCGTTCAATGATGGCGCGCCGCCTCTCAGACGGAGACAAATTAGACTGGCCATCTGGACCTACTTTTCTGCGGTTGACGGCAGCTGCTGTTGGCTTCTTCTGCCGATTGTCAATCAGAGGATTGAAGAGATCCTCGAAAAGAGTGTGAAAAGGAAGAGTCTTGCCGCGATTGCGAGGGCGGTTCGGATATTGCTTATCTAAATGTTTCTGGAAGTCCACACGGCTAAGTGCATCTTCATGCCTGGACTCATCGTACATGCTCTCGTCGTCAGACATGTTGAAGACTAAGCCGCCAGTCCGAATTCAAAACGGGATGGACTTATTTGCGCACTCGCATTCTCGAGTTGTAACATGGATCAAGAGCGGCATCGTCAGCCAGATGGCGAGCGGCAAGTTTGGTAAGTGGTGCTGCCTAGTGAGTAGGAAGTGAAGTCAGTCCTCACTTTGAGACGTTTGACAGGCGCGCCAAGACGCGTGATCACGTGATAAGTTTCGAGCATACGTCACGTGCCGACTCGAGGCGCAATCAGGCTTACAAGCCGACTTCTAGCTTCCCCCTTCTCCTGTTCGTTTCTATGCTTCCACTTTCTGTTCGCTTCGGCCTTCATCGTTCGCTTCGGCAGCGTGCTTTTGACCTTACTACACAGTTGGAGTTATGAGATGTGATGAATCCATTACTCAGCTCATGAGACTCGCCCCATTCGTTTGAACTTGTCCGATGCTTCGGCATCCTGCATTTGACCCGTTGTCCATGGATTGATGAGTGAGAAGCAGGCACGGCGTCCTCCTGTGGCGCCAAAGCCCTCTTTCATTCAACAATACAATGCTACCGCACCCAGAATCTCCCCTTTGCCATCACCTGCCCTTCAGGGTGCCACTTTGGCGTTTGGACCGGCCGCGGTAAAAACGCCCAATATCTCCGTCTCCGCATCACATAATCCATCTGCAGGAGCCCTGCTTGCGGCAACCACTGCCTCTATCAGGAAGCAGCAACAACAGCAGAATGAAGCCCCTTCACAAGAGTCAGCCGTCAATCCTCGGGGTCGAACATTGACAACAGAGAAGCTGCCAGTCGCAGTTTCCGACTACTCCTCATTATCGCCTCCCGAGCCTGGGCTTCGGCCTCGTCCTCCTCGATCTACATCTGCCGTTGCTGCCATTGCGGCTTCTGTAAAGACGAGCCCTGTCCGCAGGCCGGAATTGAAAAGAGATCAGGCGAGCTCGTATCTGGCGAGGCGGGATCCATCTCAGGTTCGAAGTCGGGGCATGAGTACAAGCAGCAGCAGCGAGGCTGTCCAATCACTTCAACAGAGCGCGGCGGCTCTTGCTGGGGCCAAGGCTTCGATGACAACAGCTCCTGCCCAGGTCCAGACTGCAACGGGTGACAGGCATAGAAGCGACCTTGGCTACCTTTCAAATCTGCCTCTTTCCTCCGCCCAGACCTCTTCCGCCCCGAGTCCCTCTCTTTCCGGGGCAGCGGCGGCCGCCACAGCTTCCAGGAATGCCGCGAGCCTAGAGGCGAGAAGACGGGCTCTGTCAACTTCTGAAGAGAGTAGTCCAAGCGCACCAGTCTTCCGATATCTTACTGTGTCCCCTCAATCGACCACTGGCTCATTATGGCCACGCGTCAAAGTGACTCCTCCGCCAACTGACTCGGAGAGTGACACCGGACGGTCAAAGGTCGAAGACGCCCACAAGCCTCTACCGGCGCCTGTTCCGCTGCGCGCCAACCGTGCAACAATTGTCGCACAAGAACAAACTTCCGCCCTGGATTCACGAACTGGAATGACTGCAAGTTCTCTGGCGGACGCTATGGTAGCTGGCTCCATTGCAGCCACTCACACCGGCTCTCGTGGAGCCTCTCCTGCATCAAACAAGGTTCCGCCCCCTATCCCTCGTCGGCGCTCGAAATCGGTGGGTGCTTTTGAAAGCGCAAGGCAGTTAATGCACCTTCCTGCTATGAGAAATGAAACAATCTCACAAACACCAAAGCTGAAACCGCTGCCTGTGCGGCCTATGAGGCAGACATTGCGGAATCCCTCGCCAGAACGCGATGAACCCCCAGAAGAAAAGCGTGGCCGCAGACATTGGAGGCGACATCCGAATATGCACCATGAAGGGGATCGCAGGCGGTGGAGAGACAAGGTCACGGAGCGTGAGAGGAAGCGGTATGAAGGTGTTTGGGCAGCAAACAGAGGGCTGTTACTCGATTACGACTTGGGAAAGCCGGGCTCAGGGCCGAGGAAGGACGGCACGCCTGTGACTGATTTGGTGGTGAATGTTGTGGTACGAGATATTTGGGAACGAAGCCGTCTGCCTAAAGACGTATTGGAGGAGATCTGGGACCTCGTCGCGCAGCCAGGCGCGAAGACACTGAACCGTGAGGAGTTTGTGGTGGGTCTTTGGCTCATTGATCAGAGGTTGAAGGGGAGAAAACTGCCCATTAAGGTCTCGCCGAGCGTTTGGTCGAGTGTTAGGCATCCAGAGGGTGTGAAGTTTTCCAACAAGGCCATGCGTAGATAGGTATCGTTAGAGGTATCTTTAGTCGTGTACGAATAGACACGTCAACATGCTTCGATATGAGGAGGCTGCATAGGGGCGGTAATGAGCAAGAGTGAGTCTTGGGGAGGAAGGGGGGAATATTGTAGCCTGGTACTAGCTTAGGGAGCCCCTGAGTTTCGGTAGCCTTGGTCATGATTGCAGTGGGTCGGACAGCCATAACCCTTCAACGGCCTACGCAGTAGCACTCAGAACTCCTTCCTTACACCGCAGAATATGAAGTATGTCTACACTGGAATTGCCATCAAGATTGGCGTCCATAACAGTTTGTGGAAAATGATCATCCCCCTCAAGTTTCCGACAATCACCACCTTAACCGGCGAGGTCCAGGGAGCTTGGAAGCCCGTTCTCCGCCTACGTATTACGTACGAAGGAATAGCCAGCTATCGAGGCTCGCAAAGTATGTCCTCCATAGACAGCTTGCCTTGACGGCTTCACTACCAGTTGCAGCTGCAGTGCAGTTGGGTCGAGTCGGGTCGGTCGGTCCGGTGCTTCGCTAAGTGCCTAGGTGCCCACCGTGACCTGCGCCAGATACAACAGCGGCGGCGGTGAGAAAGAGTGTCGGTGTCGGTGTCGGTGGCACTGCACACCACACACAGGACATAAAACGGAGAAAGGGTGAAACGGAGCCATGTGTACTGGACCGGTCCGCGGAGGACTGTGTATCAGTGTGCTCTACCCAGGCGCTAATTACTCGTCTCTCCACACCGATTGATCGCCAGGAGATCTGTTTTCAAAAGGGGCTTCTTTGAGGATCTTTGGGTGATCTTCGAGGATCTCTGGTCTGATGCAATATTTGTGTAATTGAAAAAAAAAAAACGGTTTTTTTTGTTTTCAAAGATTGGTGAGTGACATCTGGATTAAAAGTACAACGAAATCTCAGATCTCTCAAATAGCGGAGAAATGGGACAGCGGGTTATTGCTAGTATTGGAATGTTTTACATTGGATCGCAGATCTCAGTAGTAATTCGTCTCTTCCTTCCAATTCCACCTAGAGACCCAGCGGCTGCGGCAAGTTGCTCCCAATTATCCCAGAGGGATGCCCGTCCTTCCCAGCCCCTCTCCCCAGGCTGACTTATCAAAAGTCACGACTACTGAGGTTCGGGAACGGGGGAAGGCTGGCCTCTCCATCTAAAGGCGGTGCTCGTGCTCGGTCCCTTTTGCTCCAACAAAGCTTTTCTTGGAATTGCTCCTCTTCCGGTAGTCGACAGCCTGGTCGTTCTTCCGGTCAAGTATTCCCTGACACGGTCGACTTGCCCTCGTCGCTGATTCTCTTGTAGGTGGATCTCCGTAGCATCAAGCTCAACTGGAGACCACCCACAGTAAGCCAGGTGGTGTGTTGTAGCGGGGACCTGGTGGGACTGCAGCGGCGGCAGAGTCGAGTTTCGTAACGTCGTAGCCTCGCGGCTCAATAGATGCTCTAAGCAAGGGGTATCAAATTATCGTAAAGGCGTGTCATGTCATGAGGGCGATCACGCCCACTCAGTCATCGCCATCGACTTCAATGGCAGTCTCCCGCACCGTGACTGGTCGGTTTTGCTTCCAGCTCTGATCATTGAGTTCGTAGGTCGACTTCGCGGCGGATGGCGGGGGAGGAGCTCGTCTCCTGGGGCTTGCAGGCGCCGATTTGGACTGGGAGTCCTTGTTGGCCACGGGCTGGACCATACCAGATTGAACGGCGTAGACTTTGCCGTTGCTTTGCGACTGCTGCTCAATCGTTGTGTCGTCGTCAACCTCGCAGTCGAAGATGGCGACTTGATCGACGTGCGTGGCATCCTCGTATTCTTCGTCGGAGGCAGAGTCCTCGAACGGATCACTGTCAGTGTCGGACTCGGAGTCGACCATGACAGTCTCGGAAGGGGTGGCTAGGTCACGAGACCATCGACGGACATTGTCGACGATGGAGGCGTGTAGGACTATGCGGTGGAGATCTGGAGTTTGTCGGCGGCACTCTCGGTCGAGCTTGGTCTGCGAGAGGTGGTAGACCTTGTAAGCCTGGATGGCCGGGTTTGATGATGTGGAAGTGAGCATGGTGATAGTATAGTGTCGACGTGTGACGTACTCGGTACGGGTTGGTGGATGGTGGTACTGGACTTCTGGTTGTTGGGGAAGAGAAAGGGGGTGGTAGAGTGGGATGGGACAGAGGAATATATCTTTTTGATAGACAAGGGACCGTATTGAATAGCCGGGTAATGGGCCGTGAAATTCAGGATGAATGGAACACGGGCTTTGGTGCGAGCTGGTCGCCCCGGGAAAGGTAATTACCCTCGAGTCGCCAGACGCATTATCATCCGTCTGTGCGGAAAGAAACAACCTCTAAACCGGCCAATGCGCAAGAATTTCGGAACATGCGGGTGGGTGACTAGGGAGTCCTCTAACCCTTAGCGCATCCTGCAGACATGGTGGACGGGAAAGGAAGTCGTGAGGTAAGCGTGCAGAGCGTCGTAATACGTGCCCATGATTGCACGGTCAAGCACGGTGACGAGGGTGACAGCGCAGCGTGCAGGAGGGAAGTCTGTGTCCGTGACCTTCGGAGCCGGTGTCCAACAGTCAACCACCTGAAACTTTCTCCGGTGCAAGGATCAAGCGGGTGGTGTGCGCACCCAACGACGCGACTGTCATTTTCGCCCAGAGTCTTGGTACGAGCGTCGGCAGGTGATCAACTGAGCGTGGTGGTAGTAACCGTGATAGACGCCGTGATCGTATGAAATAGCAGA